CAGGCTTTTACCTTTAAGTCCCAATTAATTTACTAGTGTTACATTTCAAAGCAGATTTCCACAAATAAAAAGAGAATTGCAGTAAGATTAAAGCATAGCTGATCGCACAATATGCAGTATGCAAATTGCAGAAATATGCCTTTTCTGTTAATATGTAAGCACTGAAACCCATGAAAGGTATGCAATATTTCAGATCCAGGCTTGCTGGTTTTGTCAGCTTTCATCCAATTTTGATTGAAAATTTAATCTTTCAAATCGATTTAAAAAAAGACTCTTTAGCATTTAAGTAATTTTTCCTGCACGATAACTTCCTTGGTTTGCCAACACTTACATACACGTGCAACTGAATTCACACAGTTCTACAGACTATAGGCGATGATAAATTTAAACCATTCCAGACCTAAATGAGTGTTTCAGTACCTGGTCTCTTTTCACAAGCCAGACCAAGCAGAAATGTTTACTCACTCGTCTTTTTCCAGAGGAAGTTCCTGGAGCATCTGAATCTACATCTACTTCTGCCACCTAAAGGCAAAGGTAACGATTACACACATGCATGCTTGCACGCACCCTCCCCAACGGGAAAAGGGGGTTAAAGCATCAGCCAACAACAAACAACACAGTTTTGAACTACTCAAACGCAATGAATGGTTCAAGCAAACCAGAAACTAGCTTCAAACTAGGACTTAAATAAGTTTAAGAAGAATTAGGTGGACAAGCTCTTTCATCTCTTTTCCAAGTTTGCTTCCATATAAATTATATATAAACATGTGAGAAATACTAATAGCTTATTTTCAGTCCTTAAGACTCAGTTAAGTTGCGTCCTTGCAGACCTGCATTCCCCTGCCTAAACGGTCATGCCCTGAGCAGCTGTACTGATCAGCTGTTTATTCAGGTTTCATGTAGTGCCTTACTTACATCAGGTGTATTTACTATTATTTTCAGAATCTGGATTTAGTGATACAGGAAACAACATCCAGTTAGACAAATAGCATAGCAAGATACTGAAATCCTGTCACAAGATCATCCAGCAAAGAGAACAGGACCATTGGGACACAACAAACCAGTTTTTGGCCAGACTGAGCTCGGCAGCTTTGGCAACCAGATAAGGACAGTTCACCAAAACAATACAGTGATAAAGAAGAGTAAACGACTACCAGAGGATTCTGAAGGACCACCGAGAGGCTATAATGCATATACTGGAGTGGGAGTAGCCTATGGTAATGAGTTCCCCGAAAAGTAATAAACATGTCAATCATTTCCCGAAAACCTTGTGAATATGTATATATGGCATGTATGTAAGTTGTATAACTAACCCTTTACAGTGTGCAAGTTTGGAGGAGCGATCCCCCTTGCACCCAGCGCTGCAATAAACATACCTCCTTTATAACTCTCTGTGAGTTGTGGAGTTTGTTTCTGCGTGTCATTAGAAATTAGAACAAAAACTCCTTTGTACACCTTTCTACCACAATTAAAAATAACTAATTTTGAGTGGAGAAGTGAGTGCTTGGAATACCCTACAAAGAATCTGAAAGTAATTTCTTTCTAATTTTAAAACTTATTATAAACCAAGACATGCTCTTTGAAAGGCTAGAGAGAAAGAAAGGTGCTATAGTAGTAATTTTGGATACTTCTGATCAATGCTTGACATGAAATAGATGAGATTCACAACTAGCACAAGAAGGTTAGGTTGGGAAAGGGGGGCTTGCTATTTAAGTCATGGAAATCCCTCATTTTCTTCAAAATACTCTTTTAATAGTCTGTGAGAATAGATGCTGTTATTATATCTTCAGTTTTATAAAAGTAATTAAATTATTCCATTGTAGTATGGATTTTCAGTTTCACTACAAATCCAAGACAATAGCACCAGCCATAAGCATAGAGGTCTTCAAGCAGCATCAGGTTTAACCTAAATATTTCAAAACTGCCTCAATGGAGTATGTCTGGGGGAAGGGTGGAGGGAAGAAACCTCCTAACTAAATCTTATACTAGCTCACGTATTAGAAAGCATCACTGAAAAAGTAAAACAAACCCAAGTGACTTAGGTTATAAGAGGTCACTTCTTTGCAACAGAAACTATAGCCCATTTCAAAATGCAGTTTACAAACTGCATTTAAGGGGAGAAGGTGTAAGGAGAGAGAAAAAGTTAAAGGAAGTGATATCTACCCTGCTTTCTACCTGCCACTTCACTCCATGGTACAACTGGCGGGAAATGACACAGAATTACATAAGAAAACCAGTTCTGCTGCCTCCCTGACAATAGGAGAGCTGTTGTCCTTCTGGTTTGGCAGACTGGATAATAGCCCCAGTTCATATTCCCCTTACTTACTAATACTTCCTCACACAACAAAACATCATGTACTAAGAGAAGATTAAAGATAGGCAGTTCCCAGAATCATTTTTACTTACTCATGGGAGTTTATTGCCCCAGGTGAGCAACTCAAATGACCTAAACAGGCTCATCTCAAAAACACAGTGCAACTACCCATAAAATAAAAACTCAACAAAAATCTTCCAGGTGCAGAATGTAAAAAGGCAAGAAGTTCTGATGATCAGACTTAATGGTCTTACCTCCTCTTCCTCATCAGTACTGCTTAGGTCTTCTGCCTTCACCTTGTTATATATTTCTAATATATCAGTACAACTCTGATCCCTGCAGGACAGCAACAAAAGCCAAAAATAAATAATCAAGTATCTCAGAAACTCAAGATGTCACATCTATAAAGTAAAAATCATGCCTACCCAATGAAGTGAAGCAAGACATCTGTTACAATTTTGGCTGCTTTGACTATAGGACTGTCTGGCTCGTTGAAAGTCCTGGCGTTATGTTCAATGTATCGTACCTCCCACATCAGTGCAGAGATTCTCCTAGGAAAAAAAAAAAAAAAGGAAAGGGTTGGAGAAGAAGGTGTACGTTATTTTCCTTCTGAGTTCAGTAGGATTCCTCAGTAAAAAAAGGAATCAGGTAATCCAGGTCCAAGGTAAACAGGTTGCCACAGACCAAGGTAAGTGGTTTCTCTTCACATACTGCTGACTTGCTGAGTGCTCCAATGCGCCAGGCTGCAAGAGCTTTGTGGCTCTCTTCAAATCAGCAATGAATGGAATGAAAAGAGGAAGGAAACCTACACAAGGAGACTGCTGACTGCTCCCACTTAGAGAAAGCTTTAGAGATACAGTGGTCCTCAGAGGGGAAAAAAAGAGTAGGATGTTTTTTATCCCCAGGTTAACTGGAAAAACTGAGATTTCTAGTTTACAGCACTATTTATCCCACTTCTGGCAACTGCAATACAAGCAAAGCAGCTGGTGCAAAGGCAGTAGAGCTACAGATGAGGCAAATATGCACCGCCTGTAACGCATCCAGTGTGTGTAACGCTGTGTGTTAAACAAAAAAGACACTCCAGATCCAGATATACCAGCTTTTGCCTTAACAATGTGGCCAAAAGAAATTATTATTCAGGAAGACTCACTTTGACCAAAGCCAAATAGAATCTGATCTTATGCTGTTGGCTTATCAAAGAAATATATTGCTGAAGTGGCATCACACAGTAATTCAGCTAAACATATTGTCCTCAATGGGGCTATAGTAAGTGTAGATTACAAAGAAATAAAAATCTAACTGACCTATAAAATCTGTTTTCAAGTCTCCTCCTGATTGTGGTGAGGTCAGTTGGATAAGCAACAACAGTGCAATACATGGGATAGGCACTAAGGTCCACTGGAACAGCAAAGGGATTAGAAATATCTGAAAGACAAAAGATCAAAATAATTTAAATGCCTCAGAAGATATCAGAAGGGAAGTTATCTGATAACTAGATTCCTTATAATGGTTTCTGGGTTTTCTTTCTAAGAATTCAGCAAAAGCAATACATATCTACAGCTGGATATGTCATTACCCAAAGGGTAGGATTCTCCCTCTTGTGCCATCTGTTAAAAAATGCTTTTGCAACAGTAGTGAAATATCGCATCCGAGATTTGCATGCCAGCAGCCAACCGTATGGCTGAAAAACAACATGGCATATGCACTGATAACAGGAATACTACAACAAGCAATGCAAAGTAAGAATACAGACATGTCCTGTGTATAAATATAGGATAAAATTTAAATAATAGCATGCTATTAAACTGCTACAAACTAGTTACAAGGTATTTGTTGGCAAGGATGTTTGGTGAGGGCTTATTGGTTGTTTTTTTGAGGGGTTTTGCTCATTCATATTTAGATATGACCAACTGAGAATCCCCATTAAGTTGAAAGGAAGCAGGTCAAGCCCCAGAAAAAAGGGAATATAACTGAAAAGGACATCGTAGGGAATTTAAAAGGCTCTTTTCAATGATTTAGTTAAGCACATTTCAAATACTCCACACCAACTCCCAACGCTCCATCCTATTTACTCTTCAGTCCTGTGCCGCCACGCTGAGATTCTTAATTCCTCCACCTTTTTCCTCCAAACATACCAAGGGAAAGAAGTTGCTCAATCCCCCGGATTACTCGTTCACATTCTTCATCTCTGGAATGGGCTCCCCATTCTCCTTCCTGGGGTTTGTAGAGAAGAGCTGTCAGCTCATCTGGAGTCACAGGAACTCCAGCACCAACCTCCTCTGGATAAGCAGCTAAATACGAAGAATTCAACAACAGTAAGCACTTGCAGTGGCAAAAAACTATTTACTTTGTACATGGACATGAATTCAACACACACTTACTTCCTTCTGGAATTGGTTCCATGTCCCATGGACTCATTCTCTCTCTCTCATTATTGTCCCAGCTATTGAAAAAAATACATCCAAATGCATGTTAGAGCTGAACATAACAATACACCTTTTCTCTACCAGACTTAAACAAAAAGGTCATGCCTATTAGAAGCATGAAATGTCACTGGCTACACGTCAACTCCTTATTTTCCTCTTGTATCTCCTATATATTCACTGCACTGCTGTTTACACTAAGTGTTGTTTTATGAATAAGTTCGTAACTAAATAAATGAAAACAAAGTGGCTGATTATGTATTTAAATGGGAAAAAGGATCCTAGTTGTAGAGGTACACATTTAAATTGCTCGTTAACATCAAGGAGACCCAGAGCATGTATACATGTGTGATACCTTACAGCTATGTAAATACTTACTGAACACAGTAGCACTGGAAGGAACTATCAGGATATTCTGCCTGGAAAGGCTGCTGACTCTCCACAGTTCCGAACCACCAAGCGTCATCTATTATACTGCGAAATCTATCCCCTATAAGGAAAAACATTGCATTCAGGAAACAAACAACATAAACAATTATTAAATACTTCTTTTTAGAGAATCAACTTCATCTTTCATAAATGCACTACTTCAATTGTTATTTTTTGCACTACAGGAATCAAGCCCTGCCCCTGAAGAGAGGGCTTTCACATCTCTAGTAATTAGTCACAGCTGCCTCCATGCCTCACATCACAATGTAACAATGGATTCTTCTATCACAGACCTTGTAACAGTTTCTCTCATTTCTTTTTTTTTTTTTTTCTGCTAAAGGAATTGCAGCAAACATCAAATAAAGTGTCCCATGACCGCTATAACATCATGCATGGTATCACGTAAGAGAGATGCTGTATCCTATTACACAGCTGCAGAAATGTTGCACAACATATGGAAGTGGAAAAAAAGTAGTCACCTATTTGCCAGTTCCTTTCTTTGGCTTCATTATAAAACTGATGCAGCACAAGGAAGTCAATAACATCTGGCATATCATGGTACCTTCATGAAACAGACAAAAAAAAAAAAAGCTTCTATGACCCATACGCATAACTCCACATGTACAATACAATCACTCGCCAAACACTTTTCATGCATTTTGTTTTCCAGTTTGGTGTAATAACTAATTAATGCCATCATCATGCATTGCAAGAGAAAAAAGAAAGGAGGGGTGAATCTTCTAAATTGCAAGAAAATCTCTTGAAGAATGTCATCAGCATTTCAATTACTTACTTAATGGAAAATGACTCTCCTGTCATTTTGCCTGTGATTGGATCTAGGAATGCAAGCTTCAAGCAGCAGAGCGTAGGAGGCCCAACTTCATATTTAATTCCTACAGTCTTCACAAATTCTTGTTCCTATTCATCAATAAGCATGGAACAGTATTATTTTAACTCACTAACAACAAAACCATCCATGTTAAAGGACCAAACTTATTAATAAAAACCAAATATGTTTCCATTCTAGAGCCCAGGTAATTTCATCCATGAAAGTTTTCTTTTCCAAATACTAAAAGTCAATCACAGCCACCTTAAGAACAAAAAAGATGAGAGATGCTCATTCCCTTGGCAGATTTGTGAACAAGGTACCCACAAATTATTTAACTTTTGTAATAAGGTTCTAAGGAACATACCACTCTGGTTTTAACCACACTGACAGCACCAAAGGTTATACCTGACTAAACCCAGGGCCTCTCACCTTTGCCTAGCAACATACAGGGGAAATAAAAGGAAATTCTTCCTCTTAAAGAGGAAATTCAATAATAGCCTTTATGTTCACATCCTGTCAAACATAAGCCGGTAGGAAGATCTCTATCCTAAACGAAATACTATTTCCTTTGCCTTACAAACTGATGACGCCTTTGAAGATTACAGCTGGAATCATTGAATACCCAGGACCAGTAACTGAGTATTTTTCCAGTAAAGCAATTATTTTAATTAATAGAACCACTGGCATACACATATATGAATATTAGCACATATATGTGCTCTTCTCTTGATAAGAAATCTAAGTAAAGCAAGGAAAAACAAATACGGTGGCACTGTGGATTAAGTATTAAGGGACTCAGTGGTTCAAAGCAAAAGGATAAGAAAAATCAACATGACTATGTAAGCTTAGCAGCTACCCGAGCAACCAGTAATACTTTTATTTTGTAAAAATACATTGTAAGATATTGTCTTGCCCTTCCAAGAATTTAAGAATATACACAATTATATGCTTAGCTAGATCCACGGTTTAACAGAGCTTGTGCATACATTTAGGTTTTTACACCACGATGTCTTACTTCTTACCATAGCATTTAAAACAATAAATAGAACCCAGATGTTCAGGTCATTGTGAAGTATCGATAGAACTATTAACAGCTTTTGAGTGGTGGGTTCTGCATGAATTAGTGTTCAGGAAAAAAAACAGAGTCATAAAATAATTTGGGTTGAAAGTGACCCCCAGGAATCATCAAGTCCAAAATCCTGCTTATGGCAGGGCTAACATCTAAGTTAGATCAAGCCACTCAGAGCTTGTCCCGTTGAGCTTTGAGAAGTCTTCAAGATTCCATGCTCTCTCCGGGCAACTCTTCCAGTGCTTAACTACTCTCAGTTTTACTTTTCTTTTTTTATTCAATGTTCTACATTTTTTAATCTGTCAGGCAAGAATAACACACTAGATAAACTTTCACATTCTTTAATATCCTTCTGGCTTCCTATTTTCAAGAACTCAACAGATGTAAAGGCTTTGTGTTAATAAAAACACTAATTTTAAGATTTACAATTTTAATTTTTATATTAACATTTTAAAGTAATGCTTTCTTCATGTTTTTCATACTGATTTTTAACGTCAATTTAAAATTACAGAGACATTCAGTTCTTTGAAGTATTTATTTAACTTACCCTGAGTTCCATTTTGTTCCATGGTTGTTTTTGCACATTAATACTGTAAATTTTTGCTTTCCTTACTGCCCGCACATAAGCTTCATGGCCTTGCCTAAAGTATATGACCTTAAAATAAAATAAAAAAAAACGTATTATTTTATTTTACTGATAGTTCTCTTCCTTCTTATTCTAAAATTTCTACAAACGCCTCAGGCATCATCCCTTTCAGAACATAGTGCACATTTCTTTATTTCATTATACAGCAGTCTTCTCCATAAAAAATATTTATATCAGCCCCCAAAGCGGCACCTGCTATGTGCTTTCAAACTTGGGATCATTGAAAAGTATGCAGGTTTGTCTGAAGATGCACAATCAATTCTTCCTGCTATTCATAAGTTACATGTGCACAAAAAGAGAGGTAGGACAGCTATCTGTAAGCAACTGGTTTCCTGAAAAAAAAAAAGTTATCAAAACTCACCCTATCTGGAGCATGATTCACTGCAAATATTGCTAGATTTAATAGCCCTGACCAAAACAAGCTCATCAGCCTCGGGGGGAACTGCAGAATTGCTATACTCATTACCTCATCTCCCATTTGTGGGACAAAAGGTGAGCGGCGGGGTATAGTATCCAAAATCCACTGTGGGGCAAGCCATTCTTCACTGGGTTCACCTTCCATAGAAAGCAGTCCACTTGGTTTCTTAAATATATTGCATGAAATTTAGAATGCAAGCCATAATTACTATGGTAGAACACATGAAAAACTCCTCATACAACACTTACTGAAGATAACTAGATATAAGGGCAAAGCAAATGCTGGAGTGTCAACTTCCCCAAAACCTCAGCTAAATAGTAGGGAATAAGACATGTTTGTTATAAATATAATAGAAGATCAAAATGTTCATAAAGAAAGATATTATTTTGTTTTCTTAGAAATATTCTAAATGTCGTCTTTACAAAGTACCAGGAAAAAGAAATCTGACAATGTAGATACAATTCAGATGCATTATAATTTTACAACAAAACCCCCTTGGAGTAAATCCAACTGCAGTGAAGAGCATAAATCTAGGAGAAAACATCCCACCTGTAATGCAGAACTACCTGCATGAAAATGGAAGTACATCTATGGCACCATAGCACCAAAAAATTACTCTGGTATTACAATTACTGTGCTATCTATAGGATCTTTCTTACTGTATATTTGTTTGTGAACAATTTTACTTTGAAAACATAAAGTCCAAAAGACCTTAAAAAATTTAAAATGCTGACCTTTTTTCTAGGTTGTTTAAGTTTCCTTCGTTTTGGCTCCAGTCCTTTTGTTCCCTTCATATTTTCATCTTCAGAACTACTACAGATTTTCCGAGCTGCCTGCCTGGTTTGTCTCTTTGGAGGCTGGAGATTAATTCCAGCATCTGCTGTCCAGTCAGAATATTCACTTGATGAATCACTGTAGATAATAAAAAGTTGTAGGAAAGAAAACAGCACTTCAGTTTTCACACAATGGAGTGAAAGGTCCAAACATTCAACCTGTTCTTCTGGTTATGTGGAACAGATGTCAGGATTAGCACAAAAAGTGAATTTAAAGAAAACCTAAGTGCTATCTAGTTTGTGTATTTCAGCAAATTATTTTAACAATTGCAAACTCACGGTAAAACTACGGTTAGGGCTGATACCAATATTTTCATACTAATTATCTCATTGATTCTTAGGCTGACTTCACAAAATGCATGAAAAATTTAGAAAACTAGAGCACACTTCTAAAAATACAGTTCTGACTTCTTTAATATCCAAATAACACACATAAAGTATTTATATTAGCTCATAGCCCTTTCAGCCATAAAAGCATAACATTAAAAATAAGAAAAGAGATTGTAGAAATTGTACACAAATACATATTGACAACAGCAAAATTAGGACATACTAATGAACAGAAGTTATGTATGCACTTCTATCAATATTTCTATTGCGTATGACTAACTGGCATTGATTTTTTCAAGCAATTCTTAATTAAATACAACATTTTCTTACAAATGGTCTTTCAAAATTGTTCTTGACTTTGCAAAAAAAAAAATAATATCAAAACCCACAAAAAAATACAATATAGAATCATAGAATCATCTAGGTTGGAAGAGACCCTTGGGATCATCGAGTCCAACCATCTACCCTACTCTACAAAGTTCTCCCTTACACCATATCCCCCAACACCACATCTAAACGGCTCTTAAACACATCCAAATATAAAATGCTTCACAAAGTCAGCCTTCAAAATTAAGAAATTTTCACACTGGTTTTATGTTAAATACTCTTATAAAAACTTCTACAATTACTTGGTACTCAAACACATAAAAGTATTTGTCCGTTCACAGACCCCACAAATTTTGTTGGTTACCATTTTTAACTACCTGAGAGTACTAAACACTTTGCTTCAATCACGGTGTAACAAATCTGTACTGCTTTGAAGCAGTATGGTATCACAATATCAACTGTCTTACTTAAATTACGTAATCCATTAATGTTAACAATTAAGAGAGCAATAACGCTACCTGGAACTGCTTTCACTTTGCCATGCTGCCACAGGATCGTCCATAGATGCATCACTTGTGCCAACAGTCTCATCTTCCTGTATTAAAAACAAAAGGTTTCACTTCTGGGCCAAGTTTACAATCTATCATTTTTGTTTGCAAGCAAGTTATATGAGTTGCCTCAGCTGAGGAAAGCTTTGTATTTAAGGACTGGTTTAGCTTAAAATAAGTCCACAATTTCTTTCTGTATGTTAATTAATATTATACTACATGCTTATAGAATTTCTAGAAAGAGATGTGAATTTTAATGGCATTAGAACCATACCAGGAGTTCTTATTTAAGTATCTGATTAATAAATTTTAGAGTCAAGTGACCAGCTTTATAGTTATTCTATATGTTCAATGCATTTACAAAGTAACAAAGTTCAGTCTCTTTTTTACTTAGCATGCTCCTGAAATCAGAACAAGTTATATTTAATCCAGTATATTTTAAGTTCTTCCCTTGCCAATATCAATGATTAATACCAATACTCAATCTCTTTCAACAGCCATCTGCAGATGAAGTAGTGAATGTGACCTAGAATATATGTGCAGTATGAAATCCCAAAATAGCAAGTGGTTTAACACAACCCAGTTAAATTTACTTGAAAATGTTTCAGATTTCCAAAAATACACAACCTGTTTTAAGCCAGTTTTGAATACCGCACTGGCATTGAGATAAATGATCCTTCTCTCTCCGAGATCAACAAACTACAGTAACATCACAAATCCAAAAGACTCAATGATTCCAGTGTTTCTTCCTAGGTGGAGAACCTCAGAGCTTATTTTATATTATGTATATTAATATACATATTTAATATTAAACATCTATATTAAATATAAAAATTACTGTTATTTTTGAAACACAGAGCACATGTGTTGTCAAACCACGCTATCTGTGAACAGGGGACCTATTGAAATAATCGCTTGATGTATCAGACCTCTGAGGAGCTGTCTGACTCTTCCCGTGCACGTGCGCTTTGATTTGCTCCTTGCTGATTGTGTTCTATGGTGGAGCGCGTTTGGTAGGCATGCTGGCGCTTGCGTTGGTTTCTTCTCAAAGACCTCCCACTTCCTGGTTGATAATCATTCTTTTATCACAGGACAGGAGGGACAAAAAGAAAAAGATTAGAGATTTAATAATGAATTGCACAGTTAGATGCTTCGTTAAAGTGACCGTACATTGTATCCCATTTACAAATGGCAACTAGGAAATCTAGAATTAGAATTGAAAAGATATCTTTTACGCGCCTGTGGTTCATTTCAGTGCACGTGTAGGTGTGGTTTTTTGGTTCAATATCAATTCTACTTTTTGAAGTAGCAGTCCTTAGAAAGGAAGTTATAAACAAATATCATTTTTTTCTAAAAAAATACCTGCAGTCTCTGGATAAGATAAAAGCTAGACACTTAAAAAAGTGTGGTACCTCTAATATTTCTCCTAGTTTCCACAAGTCAAACTGAACACCCACCACTGTGGCTCTGCTCTTTTCCTTTCCCAACATCTTCCCACTACTGAAGCCTTAAGGATAGAGATTTACCACTGCTATTTACATATTAGAGTATAAAGACATACAAATTACAGTTACAGAAGGAAGACAGAGATCCAGAGAAACCATTAGTACTATTGATCTTCTAAGTAATTTAATAAAATTGGGGTTTGGTTTTTTTGTTTGTCTCTCTTTTGCTCAGTGCTCAGCACTGCTTCACACCCAGGTTCTCTCTTCTCGTGAATTAACTCACCCGTTGTAAGGTGTGGGATGGCTTTCTCTTCTTTTCAACAGTGTATAAATTAATTTCGATTTCACCTTTGGCAGCTCGACATTCTTCCTGGACCCTAATTATACAGAGGAAACATCCACTTTATTCAATCAATCATCATATAACTTGACAGTCTCATTAATATACACATTAAAATACTTCTGGTTCCCTTGCTATAAGACATCTGTGCACAAGTCCTCCTAGCAGCATCCACATGTACTTTGCACCTGGAATCAAAAGTTAAGGAAGCAAACTTGTTAGCTGAGCACGCATAATTATTTTCAAGTAAACTGAAATGTATAAAAATTATTTTCAAGGTTTTGTTGGTTTTTTGGTTTTTTTTAAATAAAGCTTCAGGAAAATGTGGTATTTGAACTACTAAAGAAAGATTCAATTGTGAAGAGAAGGAATTACTATTCTCAACTCTCCAGCAGAGGCTGCCACTCTAATCCTAATATCTGAATTTCAAAACAAACAACACGAACAAAAAAAGCCAACACATTCCTGAAAAATCATTTTTTAAAACTTGTAACAGATGTTCGGAAGGATCATTAAACATTACACAATTTAATCTTTTTTCCCCTGTCTCACTTAGCATCTTACTTGCTGATGCCTGGCGGAAGCTCATTCACCACCACTCTCCTGCTCCACGCCATGAGATCTCTCTCTGTTGCCATTTGACTTCGGGGAGCATTGTGATGCATTTGCCGGACCCCTTCAATCTGACCACTTCTCCGAAGACCAACATTTGGTGGAGATGTAACATCCAAACCTGGACTTCGAAGAGCTAAGGAAGAAAAAGATTTTTCTTCACTTCTATAAGCCATTGATAAAATGGAGACTGTAAAGCTTAAGGACTGCACAGAGATCCTTTTTTGGTGATAAACACCACTTATTCTATTGTTAAGTGGCTTTGTCTTTTGCTTCAGAAAAACATTTTTGTGTATTGGCCTTTGACTACTGGAGATGCTACTGTAACATCACTGTGGCTTGCTATATCTTAGAGATATCTGAGGCAAGCAAAGAATAATCTATGAGAAAAGTATAAAAGGCACTTAAGTGACCTTCAAATCAAAGTCTTGTCAACTGCTTAAAGGCTCTGAAATCGTGAATCTTAAACTCCATGGTACAAGAAAAGATGAGGTTGACAATAGACTGCTGCATGGTTTAAGGTTTCTGTTGTACCTCCATTTGTTCTGTATTTGTAACGATTATCTACTGTGTCACAGACACCGCTCGTGCTCTGGGCTCTTCATCAGGTGGCACTACACAGTGCTACATACTCACGACAAAACTGACACTTAAAGTAGCAAAGTGAGACAAAAAGGCTGATAACTCAGAATCACTGTCATCATTGCCTTGATTTATTTCATCGTTTGGGAACGCATCAACACAATTTCCACATGCTTAAATGTGGTTAACCGCATAAATATATTGCATTCATGGTTGTGCAAACCTATATAAACATATTCAGCTACCTAAATAGCAGGTACTTTATACATACTCTAATTAACTTTCACAAACATAGCAAAGTCACTGATCAGTGCAAGTTCTATAAGGTAACTACTTTAATTTCTACACCACTCATACCTGGAAATTCCCTTTCACACAACTACAGGGACATACAAATAAAATTGAGAACCAGGATTGCACAATGCATCAACTTATCATAAGAAGCAGAAAAAACTTCTTGTGGGTTGAAGCTGGCTTCTAGGCCACCTTCTTGACAATAACAGTTCAGATCAAAGCAAAAGCATATTTTCAGCGTTTTTCAATAATATTTTTCCTGTTCCTTCTTGAATTTAAAGACAAGCAACTTCAAATCTAGCAATCCTAATGAGCTTTGCCAGGAAATCTAATTCAAATATGTGTTATTTAACCTAGAACTAATTTATTAGCGGATGTAGATTTTTTAAAAGCCCAGGGTGACTTGCAGCACAAGTCCACAGCATCTGCTCTCTTACATCAACTGTACTCAGTCAGCTGCTTCACAGTCAGCTGCGCACATCTGATTGAGTTTGTTTTCAATTTTTAATCACTTAGTGTATTAAAAATAAAATCACAGTAGCAGAACACTTACCAGGTGAGTAATCTCAGGCTTTCTAAGGAAACACTAAGACAGAGCAACCATGTTTATTTTATAAACACTGATGCTCAGCCTTAGCATTTATGCTGCAACAGGAAGCCATTAGTCTGTCACAACATTGTATTCCATTGGCATTCTCTAATTATATACTGTTAGCTTGACATTATGCAGTTACAAAGTATCATCTCTGCAGCGACTGACATCAAGACAATACAGTGAACTTTATTTTTTAGGAAATAGCAGGAGTAATCACAGTCTAATAGTTCTAGGTAATGAGATACAACCCAGTTAGACCGTTGTGCGCCCTCAGCTGCACCTTAGACTTTTAATTCCTCTGCTAGCATCAGCAGAATATCCAACTGCTCTACATAGGTTAAAAACGTGTATAAGAACAAGAGAGAAAAGCATCCTTGAAGACATAGTCTCAGAACTTACATTAACACATTTTGATTAGTACTTTACTGTGCTTTAGGAAAAGACATGACAGAGGTAAAGAAGGAACACTTACCTCCATTAACAGAGTGGGACCTGTTGAGTGGAGGGTTTGGAAGAGTTTCTCCTTCATTAATTAGTCTCAGATCTTGTTCTCTCTGTAGCTCTCTGATCATTCCATCAAGGATACTCTCATCCTGGTCATTAGTTTGCTGCCCGATGACTTGTTCAACTACTTCGCCATCACCTTGACAAGAACAAAGCCACAACTGCTTATAAAATGAATAATTTCTGTTCTACTAAACACCATAGAAACAATCAAACTTAAAATTGTGCACAGTTATTCGTGTTCTCTGCAAAACATCTGATCACCAGCTGGCCTTCTGCTCTCATGTAATAAAAGAGAAGTTACAATAAAAACCTAAAATTACAGACCACACGTAAAACATAAACACAAACCCTTAGAAAGAGCAGAAGGAAATCATGCTTCAGTAGGTAATAATGGAAGATCTCTTTTTGCAAAAGTTTATAACTACAAGAAAAAAAAAATCTGTTTTAAAAAACGGAAGCTATTTTTTTCAATGTCTTTCTTACCTTTCTGCTTCCTTACTCATCTACATAGTTACACTGAGGTTTATGGGACAATTCTTTAAGCACACTGTCCTATACATGGTAGAAGCCCACAGATATTGGAATACTGCAGTCTCCTCATCTTGCCTCCAGTCAAGTTGTTTCCAGATACTTCCTTTATGTCATAAAGCCACCTACCTCCTCTTCTAGTTTTACACTGAATTTAAATGACTAGTTTTAGAAGACAACCAAAACAAACAAACCCTTATAATACCATCCTACTGAGCTGGTGCTCAGTACTGTGCAATACACGTATTGTGCATGAGTTTTAGACAGCATACCATTAGCTACATATCCCAGCTGAGGAATAAGTTGTTCATCCTTGCAATTTTCTCTCCCTGGTACCAGCCGCTGGAATCTCGTGGGATGAGGGTTTCCATCCACATCCACCAAGAAGGGAGGAGGCATAAGATGGGGAGCCTGTTGAGTCTGTTCATCCAACACATAGTTATTTGCATCACGGATCAGTGGTCGGTAATCCGTATGGAAGAACATCTGATCTGGAATCTGCAAGAAAAGCAATTTAGTAAATAAATCAATGACCATTTGCAGCTGTCCTGCTGCTTTGGAATGGCTCCCATACCCATAAACCACAACTCCTACACTTAGGATCAGCAGAAGAAATGTTATGACAGAGAACAGATTCCTACTACAAATGCATTTTATTACCAAGGCCTGATGCAAAAGTTCAATGGTAATATATGTCAACAGAGGTGAATAGGTAGAAGTTAATGCTTTGGTCCCATGTCTAGAGATTCTCTTGTCTAAATTTTTTTTATTTAGGTAAACAGCAACTGCTTCATGATCTAACTACCATTTTGTCTGGGGGAGGGCGAGGGAATAAACTATAACACAAATACTTCTAAGACAAAATCAGGTCAAGACACAGATGAGTTTAAAATTCATTCAACCCACCTTTTCATAGTATTTATTGCATCCAAACCCAAATAGTAGCAGATGTCCATGAGAGTCTGTGCAGGCAAAATGCTGTCCATCTGGTGAGAACTTGCAATCAAAAACAGCTCCATGGCCTTGGCCCTCAATCTGTATACAAGCACAGAGCATCCCTTTCACAATCAGGCATTCTCTATACAAGCGTTTTTATGAAAATTTTACCTCCAGTCCATCAAGTATTTAATCCTAATTCTGTGTAAATTCTCATCATGCTCAAGACTGATTTATGCTTATATTTTTTCCACTTAATTATTAAAGCTTTACTGAACAATAAAGTCAAAACCTTCCATTTTCTCTTTGTCCTGAAATTTCAGTACCAGTTTTAATATATGTTCTGAAACAACTACCTAGAAGTCTACATTTTATGTTAATGGAAGACATAGGGCAAGCCTGCACCAGAGATCTCAGACGTGTGCTGTCTCTGTACGAGCAGGTTTCGCAGCCCTGAGTGCCAGGAGGCTAGCTCAGTTCCTGAAGCAGTACAGCTGCATTTGCTCAGCACTGGAACCAAACCAACAAACCTGGCACTGGGAGCATTAAGATAAATGCAGCAGAGATTCAACCACACAGTTTCCCAGACCACAGCATTGTGCTACAACACACAGGCTTACCGGTTTTCATTGCTCTGCCTTGGGAGTCACTTAATCTTTTGCATGGTATGACCATGCCCATACACATGAATAATATTCAGATGTAACAGATCCCATGAAAGACTTGCTGCTACACTTACAGTATGCAAAAACAGACTTTGGTATTGCTTACTCAAGAGCACACAGTATTCTTTTTAATATGTAGAAGTTTTCCCCTAATCCTGTTGTAACATCGGTCACACTAGGTATATAATGAAATCTCCTTTTGCCTCAAGATCAGTTTTACACAAATGCGAAAAAAACAAACCCAACCCTTCCCTGATCATTCTTACCATGTTAAAGTAATTGCGAATTTTAGTTCCTTTGTCTATATCCCAAACAAAAATATTTCCATCATGACCCGCTGAAAGTACAATCCTTTGGTCAAAGGGATGGGCCTCTAGAACAAAAACTTCATCATCGTGACCCTGCAACGAAAGCAGGGTGAAAAAGAAAGTCATATTTCTCCATGTAATATCGCCAAACACGCTAGCATTTAGTATGAGGACGTCTCAGTTCAGGTGGTCATCCAGGACAGCACAACGTACCGGATCTTAAACTAGAACTGTGTCTGTACTTAGTCAACATTTCTGTCAGAGGCTTGGCATCATCACTGCCCACTCCGTAAGCGCCTCAGACTGCAGCTCAGCACAGCCGACACGGAGAGGGACAGGCAGGAAGGAGAAATTGGCAGCATGTCAGCCAGCAATCACCAGGGTCTAGTAGCACTTTGGTCATCAGCTCCTTTCCGCATGGTACCTACTCTGCCCAGTAAGCACGAGACAGGAGGCATACTTCAGGGCAAAACACTCCTCGTCAGGGAAGATGATGATGCAGTTTAGCCCCAAATCAATTTCAGAGTTAAACTATAAACATTTGGGATTACCGACTTAAATTTCACTTACAGATAAACTATGAAGAAGCTGCCCTGTGGACGAGTTCCACACTTTGAGAAGGAAATTGTTGACTGCAGTGATGACAGTGGCATCACATCTGTCCCAAGCCACCATAGTAACCTTCAGTTTAGTCACTTTGTCCTCCCCAGATGCTACGTTGTTTCTAAAGAAATTAACAATTTAAAGAAGAAATAAATCAGTAACTACCTATGGAACCATTTAACAGCCCTAATTTGGCATGAAAATAGGGAGAGCGTGGCTGCCACCGATGTGGCTACTGGCTAATGAAGGAGAACGAAGGATGGCTTCTGCAGTGGTAAAAAACAGATACAGGGAATATTCAGTACCACTAAGATTTATAGAGTTTTATCTCCCTAAATAGGACAGATTTTTCTTCCGGTCCTTCTTAAGCGAACATTCTCACCTACTGCAATTCTTTCTTTCAAGCTATTCAGTTCTGTTATTTTTTTTCCTACAAGGACTTTTTCTTATCGGTGATTAATATGAGTAAACTTTATAACGAGCAAAAACTTGCTAAATAAATCCAAATCATACTTTCATCTAGACCCTGTTGAACATCTCCATATTTGAATTCATAGATTTTGCTCACTTTTCTCTACTTTAACTTTATTATTCATTATAATTTTAACTGTATTCAATAGCACAAAATCCAAAATAGCAGAGCATATAATATAAAATAAACACTAATGACTTGAGGAGACTGATTATGGCAGTTGCTAATATAACTTTGCTGAGAGATGACAGAAACCAACAGTTGTTTTGGATGTTTTTTGAATAACACGTAGATCAGCATATGATCAATGAGGTCCTACTAAAATCCCTTTTGTGAGATCAATTCTATTTGACATTCTTACTTCATATGTAAAATACTAAATATTCACTAACCATTAGAGTAGGGAACTACCAGTGTATTAATGTTTTCTTTCGGGGGCTGTGTAATTTAACAGATAGACCCACGGCATTTTCAATAACAAAAAACATGCACTGAAATTAACTCAAAATGGAAGTAAATAAGTATTTTTTAATATGATGGAAGATTTTGTTTTGCATGTAAATGTCGCTATGAAGTGCATTCTGTTTCGGTTTGTTTTACCCTGTCATTTTAGTAGCCATATCCAGAACTACACTCTTCCAATCTTGCTGCTGATAGTGCCATATTCTTGCTGTTCCATCTCTGCTTCCACTGACAAATCTTAAGCTATGGAAAAAAGGAAAAAAAAAAAAAAAGTCATGAAATTCTGAATAAGGATAAGTCACCGCTGCTTTTGGCCTAATACCCACATGCCCATCATAGGATCGTATTTTCTCGCTATTCAGTAGCTTTGCTATGGAGTTGTCCATCCTCAGCAACAGTGTGGGCATGCTAAATTCTGTGGCAAGAACATTTAGGACCTGATTCGCCTTAGGAAAGGTTGCTGCAAGCACTTACGTTTACATTACTCTGCCACAAACACGCACACATGCACGTGTACACAAGTATATATATACTTGGAAGCGTGTACTTGTGTATATATAGTTGTCTTACGCTATACATGTCCACACATAGGCGTGTTTAACAACTCATAAAATATCCATGAACTACTGCCACAGGAAACAGGCAGCTACAAAACGTGGGCAAGCCAAGAGCACACCCGTTCACACCAGCACAGAAGCTAGAATGTATTTAATCTTTTTTCAACACTTATTCTTTATATCGTTTGTGCATCTCTGATCTACAGAATGTAATTAAAAGACAGCGAGGTTACAACTTTCATATCAGATATTGTACAGTACAAGAGTTTATATCCCACAACATTAACTACATTTGGTTACAGCTAGCAGATGGCCTTGGAATAACTTCAATGTCGTAATTCATACAAGCTGCACATTCCCTTTTTAATGACATCAGCAAATCTCTCGTGCAGTTCATAGTGGCAGCAAAGAAAAAGAAACTGCATGCCAGGAGTCTAGCATAAATTATAATACATTAACCTAGGGAGAGGGTGAAGACGGAGAAGGGAAATACCCAAGTTGAACACAAGTAGGTAGCCCTGCCTGTGAAGTTCAACGCAAGTATTTTCATTTTTAAACTCCTTTTTAAAAAAATTCAAGCATCCAGCAAATACATTTATCTACATCCTAATGCTTCAGCTATCATCGTCACAGAAATCATTTTTGCTGGGAATTTTTTATAAAGCTCCTCAAGTAAAACATTTTCACAGGATGGCCAACACATTTAAAAGAATATTCCATTTATAAACAGAAGGACACATAAAAAGGCAAGCCTATGCAATTTTATTTTAATAAGTGATTGTTTCACCTCTTCATTTTCCCTGATCTGAATTTTTTTCATCATGATGCTTGTGACATTTATTTTATTTTTACTCCTTTATATTAAAATAAAAAGGAACCTATCGCTTTTCCATTAAAAGCATTGCTGTAGCACATAATTTTCAGTGACTATGTGACCTAATACCCCCACTGAGACCTGTGCTCTCACACCCTTTGGAAGGAACTGTTAGTACAATTATACCAGTACATTCCCACATAATTTTACATGACAAAGATCTCCGAGTACAGGTGCGGTTCCACTGGCAAAGCTACAATTTTGCTTGGAAGGCTCCTGCTTGCACACATCCCTTAAACCTTTTGCCAAGCAAAATAAGGAATATGAGCAAAAGCTGGCATAAAACCATTTACATTAAGATGGTGATCACTAATCAAAGCTTGCCATGCCACCTTCCAACACAGCTGTGCTGCAGAAGTTCAACACACATACGCCTATAGGCACCTGTACACATTTTATCATGAGCATTCTGACTTTAATTGCTACACAAGAGACAGCATCCTGACTGAGCACAGTTTTAAAAACGGAAAGCTCTGCAGGTTGGAATGGTTCACTTCATAAATTTTAAGGCCATAGGATTACGGCTATCATCTAAACTAATTAACTGGAAATTCATATATTTGCCTAGAAGTTCACATATTTGCCAGGTACATCGTCAGAGAGAAGTAAATTATTATGAATAATAAAGATGACCAATGAAATGGTCTGTAACCGGTTCTGGACAGGTGGCAGCAACCGAGGACTGCGAGTTCAGAGTATGTGATGTGCACGTAGAGTAACTGTCCCATACACTCAGTTCCAGAAACCGGTAAAAGTAAGTACTGTAGCTCATCATTAGTCACACAAACAAACACAGAATCACACAGTCTTCACTACAGGAAACGTTATGATTAGCCCATTTAATATCACACTTGGTGATGTTAAGCTATCCAGATGTACCGGTGACTCAGTGGAGATGAAAGATAGTGGGCTGCAAGGAGACACCACAAAAATACGGTAGGACACTACTGAAGTATTATATAAACCATCCAAATCCTTGTGAAAAGTCAAACAATTGTAATGAGAAGAGCATCCGTAAAGAAAAGTTTTAATCTCAAATGCAGACAAATTGCAGGGCAATTTTATCTACTAAGTAGACTGGATCCAAATTTGAGACATGAGGATCAACTGCACCTTTACATCCCATTGCAGAGCTGTTCTTTGTTTATTCCCTCTTGGAAATAAATTATTTTTTGAGGGGTTGTTTTTTTCTGGCAATTTCAGAGTTACAAAAATACAAGATGAGAGATGAGGGCCTGGTTATTCATCATATCACGTTTATCACTCTAGAACCTCACAGAACTTGAGCTCTTATGAATTTTGAGTGTGTGTATGGAAACAAACATTCTTCCCATATTTTTCAAAACTCTGAGCACCAGGAGAGACAACTTGCTTATTCAGGAGGGCCTGGCAGAAAAAGTCATTCACCAAGGAATAAAAATCAGACAGATAGTAACGGGTGGATGGCCTTATGTTTCAGCAACATATCAGCAATGTCATATTATTTGGAAAATGTTTTCAAATTATGCTAATCATTTGCTGCTTTCTGATTCCCCGCTGGTATAAATGATACACAAAGTGTATGCAAGAGAAGTAATTTTTAACAAAAAACCCTAACATATACGTAATCTATCAACAACACTCAGCTTCAACATTATTCTCATATGGATCATAAATAAGAGCACAGTGAAATAATGAAAAAAATAAAACCTCCAAGATTCAAAGTAGCTCCACAGTTCCTTGTTTTCCTTACATGATAGTCATCATTTAGATGCCATTATTTCCTTGATTTCCTTCCATCTCATTTCCGACAACACACCAAGTTTTATTTCCCCTTTCATGTTTACCTTCTTTTCATAAAACTCTGCACTGAGTTTGTACATCCCTTCCATCAGTGCAGACAGCACTGCTCAGATGCTAATCTAAAACCATACTGCTTTGGAAATCAGTGTGTCATATTCCCCTACTACTTTCTACAGACAGGACAGAGCAAGAGCAGTTGATAAGGAAGTGAAGTGGCCTCCTCATCTGTGCCCCAGTACAGAAACAAGGGAAATATATCTCCTTTGAATGCAACAGCTACCTAAAGCATTACTGTCATTGGTAGCTTGGCCTCCCCTTTGCCTCTAAACTCGGCCATCAGCCCTGGCTACGGCTGGCAAACAAATGTGTGGTAAGTCCCCATGCTACCCCTTTCCTTCCTGCAGCTCCAGAAAAAAGGATGCCCAAAAGTCACAGCCACACAGATAAACAAATATGTATATGTGCTTATTTTTCAGCTTGCTCTAACAGGACTGAAATTATAAAGCCTACAATCTTTCCCCACGCACATTTAACCTGATATTCTAGTTAAGAAAAAATAAGAAAGAAAAGTAATTGAGAAACCAAATCCCTGATGTCACTATAAACAATGAATATACTCAGATGTTATTGCCATCTTACCAGGTAAAAGCACCTGGCAAGAGAGGCTCCTTTAACGAAGATCAGACCACAGCTCCTTGCAGACTTACTTGCCTGACCATCTGTGTAACAGTTCTAACTTTTGCTTAGAACTACATTTATTATAATGCTCTTAACTCCAGAAGTAACCCCTTCTGTACTTAACAAGGCTACCTGTGAAGTAAGACGCTCCTACACAGAAAGGATACCAAATTTGGTTTCCAATTTGGTGTTTAAAAAGATACAAAGCAAAAGTATAGATACAGAATGTTTTTGTTGTTACAGCAGAGGACAAGAAGTCCAAGCTCGTGGACATGACACACATCTTGCAACATACTTTAAATAATTTGTCTAAGATTAATCAGAGCCCATGTGCAGTCTTCCTGTTTTATCAAATTTTCTCTGAAATGTTATATATTTGGAAAATTAAATACCATACTTCTCATGTTGAAAGCCCAGGACAGTCACTCACCTGTCACCGTTGTTACAGAACTGGACTGCAACCACTTTGTCCTAAACAGAAGGGAGGAAAAAATAGTAGTAAGCACTTTGTAAGCTGAAACACTCATCCAAAAAGATCTTAATGATGAGCTTCTATTCAACAAATTGCATGTTCCCATACATTTCCTATAACATACTATATTACAAATTCAAGAACAGAAAAGCCATATTTGAAGTTAAAACCTCCCCAGACATATTGTGTTATGCATTGAAATAGAAAGCTTCAGAGAGGTGATGGTTTCTGTTGCTCCAGACGTAGCTCTGAGACAGAAACAATTTCCGACTCGGTCTCCCTGACACCTAAGATGTTCAGGAGGAAGAAGCTGCAGCAGCTCTACTCTTGCCTGAGCACCGTCTTCCTGCACAGTGCCGCAGGACCATACACACCCCGGGGTAAGTTCTGCCTGGGAAACTGCAGACCTTTCACACGCCACAGAGTCAGCAGCAATAAGGTACCCCTGGAGCTCGCAAGGCCTGTCAGGTACAGCACTCCACAAGATGGAGAAAGAATGACTTAACCAAATAAATTATCGCAGCAGGTTTGCAATTTTTAGATCTAACGTTAAAGCGCATCAAAATATTTCATAAAAAAAAATTACAAACCTTGACTTTATTTCCACTTTTAAACTGTCGAGAAACAAATACTGAGCTTTAGACAGTGTTTCCCCCCTTTTTTTTTCATTCTGCTGAATACTTATGTTGGCTGCATGCACTTGCTATCTTTACTGCCACTGATGTCCCTAGTTCCTGACAATCAAGTGTCCAACTAGGGATTTTTGTCAGAGGTAGGCTGACAGCAGTCTGCAGTATTACGAAGGGTAGACTTTCAAAAATTAAAGGAATTACAGTTTATTCCAAACCTGAACTGCTGAACATAAAAAATATTTTTTCTTTTGTGAGCAAAATACTTGTTAGATTTGTTGGTTTGGAGCTCTGAGACCAAAATGTGAGATGTGTGACTCCCACTGAAGTTCAGTGAATTAATTTAGACCTCAGCTTTAATCCATAAAATATTGTTAAGGTGGGCAGCTGGGCTATTAAGATCCAAAGATAAATGCTCCAAACTCCTCACAAGTGACGGTTCTATCAGTGTTGCTATAAGCTTGCCTTTCTGATATATTGTTTACCATGCACATCATAAATAATGCAATCATCACCTGCTCTCGGGAACAACTAAGAAAGGAAGAAAGATTTGATACTGTTTTAGTGATGCTTCTTTATGGGGTTTCATTAAGACTGAGACATTCAATGGTTTTAATAAAAGTTATCAAGACTCAAACTTGAAAACTCCAATTGAAAGTAATTTTACAGATATTTAAAATAGTTTAATCTTTACAAGAACGCTTCTGCATTACCTGAGAAAGGATGCTTTTAAGCTTGCTTTATTTTCTAAATCAAATTACCATCATGACCAAAAGTTTGACTGCACACTCTAAAACCAGAATTACTTTGCTTTTTCTTGTTATGTGGATTTGTGGTTGCAACTAAAGTTAAATACTCAACAGTAAATTTAATAAGAAAAATGACATTGTTCACAAAAACTGCTTTAATTCCTCATTCCAACACAGACTTTCTTCAAGAATATGTGAAAATCACTTAGTCCCTCAGTTTCCTGGGGGAACTAAATACATAAAGCATATTTTACACACATCTCCTGACTCATAGGAATTTAAAAATAAACATACCACAAATTTCCAAGCATTTAAATACCACAGTGTTGAGAGCCAACTAAACTCTAAAGACAGAAATTAAGTCGAACAGGATATACAAAACCTACGTTCCTGAATTAGGGTAAAGCGGGGAACAAACAGATTTGCTTTCCAATTTGTCTCTTACCGTATGAGATTCTAACTCAGCCATTTTCTCTGGAGATTCTGAGCCCAAATAATAAATTCTTATCACGTGGTCAGTACTACCTGTTGCAATGAACATGCCACCTAAGAAAGACAGTGTTTTCTGTGAGAAGAAAAGCCATCCAAGGAATAACTTTTTTTAATTACTGCTTTCTTGTCAAAGCAGCAAACTAGTTTTAAATAGAAAATTTCAATGTAATCAAAACATATGTCCTGAACAAAGATGTTAACTTTGACAACTTCTACTTTGATCTGTATTTTCTCAGGCCATACCAGCTTTAGCATAACTATGAGCTCTACAATATTTTCCAGCTGCAAAACTTTCTGACCAAAGGAAGAGAATATTGCAAGTTACAACATTCATCCAACAAACTATTCTGCTTTCCCTCAGAAATTACCACAGCATTCTCCATCAGCCTGTGTGGAAAATTAAATGGGGAATAGTTTCATATTCTCACTGGTAAATATCAAAGAAAATACTTAAGCACATCGTCAATACCTATTTGAAGCACATCAGAGAAATTATTGCTGAATCAGGAGTCAGTGTTTAAGCTATTTTCTTGTAATGTTTGTTTGTTCTATTGTACAAAAAGGGCACGATTGTGTAGTTTACTGCATTGAAATGGTTTTGGTAATTTCAGGATTTCTAGTTTTAAAAAAGGAACGTGGGCAAGGCTCTTATAGCTCTAGAATATCTTTTAGTGTCAGATAACAAAAAATAATTAGAAATTACGTAATTTTGCTTGTAAAAAAAATCACTATTTTTGAGAATTCAAAGCTACAACAAAGGATGTCAGTCAAGCTAGTATTTTCAAACACATGAACTGATCCCACTAGAACTTAGCCAAATTTGGAAGATTAGCAAAAGTGTAACCTCTGAACAGAGGCCACCTGTCTGCCAGATTTCAGATATTCACTCAAAGACTTTACAAGATAAAACCTTAAAAGCATATTACAAAGAAAAAGCCCTAATGTGCAAAAGAACAGACTGAAAACATAGTCTTCCTTGGAAGTGGTCAAGACTTCTTATCTTAAATTACAGAAAAAAAAGAAAAAGAAAAAAAAAAAGAGAAAAAGTAGCTCGAGGCAGATGCTTGGCAGGGAAAATTTCTAACAATCACAATTTGACAGTGCTGTAATTAGCTCAAAAAGGGTTTAATACCATTTTTGTTTAAAAATAAGTAACAGTCTCATCACCAAAGGAATTTAGTTCATAAAATACTTTCAGCTATGCTATAATGCATACATACCGGAACTGAAAGATGAACAAGATATCTGCACACCAGGCCTGGACCTCTCTGCAAATTTTACAGGGCGATCCCTATTTGCAACAACACAACATTTTTTATTTTTCATTACTTTATTCCAAAGCCATTCAGCAGAAATAGTTCACTGCAGCGCAGCGGGTAAGGTCTGTATGCTCATCCAAAAGGTCTTTATTTCAGAATTCCACCTAAGGTTGCTAGAACTTATTTTTCATTTTAGAAATTTTCTTTCCTAGTTTAGTAAGAAAACAATCATTTTCTAAATTGAAAAGACTATTTAACTTACTTATCATGATACTCACCAATTCAAATCTATTTAAAACAGAACCCGGCAAGCCATTACTCTAATAGTATTTACTCCCTACTAAGTATGGGTTTGATGCCATCTACATATGTCTGTTCTTCTGATTAAAAGCAAATAAATTCTTCTGCCTGGACATTTTGCATAAGGATTTAGTCCTAAACATAAAAGCTGAAAGTTTTTCCACAACATCAGCTTGCAGAGCACAAACCCCAGAAATAATAGCCCTGATCTCTGCCTCCCCTCTGGGTCTGTAACGCCGCGGACTCCCCGGCACACACGAGAAAGCGCTCCCTGCCCCACACACTGGTACGGCACTCACGCACAGCATGTCTGTATGGGAGAACATATCCCGAGAAACTTGTTTATTGAGAAAGAACACGCCCTTATTTAATTATCTCAGCATTCCTCTCCACGCGAAAACTCAAAATAAATTTGTCCTTTATTTAAGATAATTATAATTATCTGAACAGGCTTACTTAAATTTCATGGTGTTAGCATGCCACTGCCAGAAACAGATTGTTCCGTCAGCACCAGTAGAAGTGAGGTATCGTGTTGTTCCTTTCCTTGATGGAGAGAACTAAAAATAAAGTCGTAACAGTTAAACCAGCTAATTTCTTTCTCCCCTTACATGCTAGAAACTTGTAAATGGACATTGACAAGAATCTTTTTCACGAGCATTTTAGCTTTCCCCCTGGGAGTACAGAACACAGTATCAGGGATAAGCACAGAATCTGCTCTTCCATAAAAATAAAGCTGAGGAATGGAAAACACCTACACTTTGACTCGCAAGTCTGCTTCTACCACACAAAAGTTAGCAAATTGGAGAAATGAAACAGGCTAGACCCTCTTAATGGGGCAACAAGACGAGGAAATACTTCTTTGTAGGACAGAACTGCATCAAACATGGTAACAAAGACAAAAATGATTCCTGCGCCCAAGTGGAACAAAGACCAGCAGCACAGTAAGACCCCCACTCCCTCCCTCTTTCTGAGCCCCTTCTCTGCCTCTCTAAGGGGGAGGAAAGCTTTGCATCCTTTGCATCATTAAAGTCTCACACTTTAATTTCATAACTGCAGCAATAACTTTAATCCTCTGGCTACTTAGTATTTGATAAAATGATCAAAGGCTGTTTCCTCAAAAAGCCCCAACTGATTGTGATTATTTTCTAAATTACCAGAGTTTTACAAAAAGCTTGTGAGGGATGTATATAAACAGAAACAAATAATAGACAAAACACGAAGCCAGGCTGTAAACTATGTCTCCAAAACAGCCACCTTAAAGTAAGTAATTTGTGGCATAGTTAAAATGAGACGAAATTGTAAGAGTAGACAAGAGGGGGAGAAATGAGACTCCCAGGGATTACTGGCATGTTGGAGGAGACTGTGATGAATCAAAGGCAGCAAGGCTCCAGAACAGAGGCATTCTGAGCCAAAGATCCCCACTCATTCTCCCCTCTGTGCATAACCTGCCAAACTGCAGAGATTGTCTTTTTTTATCCTGAAATTTTGTTTTGTTGAAGGTTTCTATCTGGCTGTAGTGGTTTTTTTGTTGGTTTGGGTTGTTTTTTTTTTTAAGCAAATAAATTGCAAATGACTAGCCATTATTAACTGTGCTACCACTAGAGAACTGAGCGCTGGCAGTTTACTCATCTTTTTCCTGCTCCGCTATTGCTCACTGGGCGCTTGCCACACCACTGAAGCTGCATGGGCACAAGCACAGGTTATCGCAAACTCGGATCTGTGCTGTACTGTGGCTGCTACAGCGTCTACAATGTCCAGAACAGCAGGACAAGATAACCAGCAAGTAAGAAATGTGGACGAATGGCTTTTTATCTGACAGTACTCCTCTGAAAAACACACATTCTCTAGGAACAACCGTCTGTTGGTTCAGCCACCGTTCAAGGACTACCACCAAAGACGTCAGCCTTTTCTCCCTGGCTCCGCTAGTTGATCCGGTGCTCTCAGTGACCACGCATTTGCTAGGTCTAAGGAAGCAGCAATGGCACCACCTAGTTAGAGGCAGCTGGAAGAAGCAGGATCATCCCCTCAGGCAGTAGCTGACCACTGCGCAGGAGTGAGTTTGCCAGGATACAACACCCTCAACTTGGGGCAAATCTACACTGCCAAACAGAGATGAAAAGATATGCTTTATCCCCGATTGCTAATCCACACCTCTTAGTACCATTTTAATCCAAGGGTTTAGGAAAAAAACGTTATTCTTTACCTGTATGGAAGTAATGGAAGCTGAATGGCCCTGCAGCACTGCTACTGGGGCACAGGTTCGAAGACACCATACTCGGACTACTTTATCACAACTGCCTGCAGCAAGCAGCGTGTTCTCGTAGTTAACAGCCATGTCAGAAATTTCAGCCGAGTGTCCTCGCAATGTTGAGAGCAGGCGCCCATCATCTGTAGCCCAGATTTTGACCAAACAATCATCTGACCCCTAGTGCCACACAAAAATTTACAAAGATTAGGTAAAATAATATACACGTCTTAAGTGTAAAAAATACACACGTACACTGCAGATGAACAAGTATCTAAAACACCATTGCGCCATGAACCTGCCAGAAGAACAACTTCAGTGGGATTTCACAGAAGCACAACTACCTGAGTTTGGGGATCATTTTGTGGGGTCAAGGATTTAGATATTTATAAAACAGAAGCCACCAGCTTATGTTTCATACTAAGATATGATTACCTCTACTAACGTAACTCCTCTCAGTATAGTTCAGTAATAAAATTAAGGTAAATTTAAGAAGATATAATATTTCATCACATATTACCAACGGTCATATTTAACTGTGAGCCAGATCAAACCAGTAGTCAAATCAAAGTGATCGTAAGACTTAAGCTCTAAGGAAAAAGAGCACTTAAGCATCTGAGGGATCTTAGAGCCTCCACCATGCCCCTAGAGCTGTAAGGCAGCTGTACCACAAGCTTCAATTTCTGTTAACCGAAGAAAGTTGGACGACTGAAAGAAAGAAACCATGCGACATCATATTCAACCAAAATACTATGTCAGCGAGATTTTGGTTCAGGACAGGACACAATTCAAAAGCATATCCAACACAGATCACTGTAAAATACTTTTACTTATAGTGGCAGCTACATTATTTCATACTCAATCTCAGTATCACCAAGAATTTTTAGACAAGTTCACAGACCTTTCTGCTACTGAGACACTACAAAGAATACTAACACTAGTGGCTACGATTGCCGTTATAAATTCAGAAACATAACAATGCAATAGCAACATAATTTTACTTTAAATTACATTTTATTAACTGCAGATAAATTTGAACACAAATCACTTTCAATTCTTCATATAACTGCAGATGAGAAAGATTTCTTTATCGTGTAAACAAAACCAGAAAGTCTTTAACTACCACCCAGAGTAATTATGATAACAACATCTCTATTTGACCAATTCATAATGAGTGGAGAAGCTACCAAGAACACAGAGACAATTAGCCTTCCAGGTAATCTGTTTCTGAACACTTATTGATAAGAGAAAAAGGCAAAGACAAGACAGAGATTAACAGTTAAAAGATGCATTATTAATTTGAAAAATATGCTAATTTTTAAAGATGCACAGCAAAAAGCAAGGGCAGTATCACAGAAATGTATGTTAATATATACTGGAGAAAAACTTAAAATAATATTCATATATTCACTAAGATACTACAAATTCTAGAAAGGAAATTTAGTAGAGAAGTAAATTGCAGATGAAGTAATGAGGTCTTCTATTCATCATCAATTTTTTTACTGAAATGTAAGGAAAGGATTGCCAGCATGTCCAAGGTTACTGAAAGGTAAAATGCAGTTGTAAAAAAAAAGTTAAGATTTAACCCAGCAAGCAGCATGCAAACGAATTCCAAATCCAAGAATACTGCAGGTGGCATTCAGCAAGAAAAATGATCAATAAAGAAAAATGAACACGTGTTTCAAGTGTGAGTTGCAAGTTCTGGACCAAAACAACCCTGCTGTCCGGTTCTACACAAGGAAGCAAATAGTTGACTAAGCTTCAGTCTACCGGAGCCATGAGCAATTTTAAAATACCAAGTCACCAAGAAAAGTGAAAATTAGCATAGAAAGAGATGGGCTTTCCCAACATTCAATTAGCAACTAAGAGGCTGTTGCGGGACTCAGGAAAGAAAGAAAACAAACCAAGCAAAGCAATATTCCAAGAACAGTATAATTTTTAAACTTACTGTAAAAATTCTTCTCCCACTGCGATCAAAGGCTATACAATAAACAGATGATAGATGTCCCAAAATCCTCTTATGCATTTTCATGTGTTGGTAGGTGGATGTTGGGAATAAGTGGCTGAAACGTCCACATCCAGTTAATTGTCTGGCAGAAAGTATATTTACTGTGAGAGAAAAACAAAACAAAAAGAAAACCAAGATATGAATTCTGTCCAGAATTCAAAGTAAATAAATACTAAATCAAATATCATGTTTGGTAACAGCTTTATTACTATAATCCATAAATTGGATCTTCTTTCACCTTATCAGAACTTTCTGTACAGTCTTGTAAAAAGAAAGCCCACTCCTGATGAAGCCTTTCAATACCTACCACACCAAACACTGCACCTGCTTTCTTATTGAAAAATTAAAGCAAAATAAAGATTTCCCATCACAAATAGAAGTTTTTCCAAGTGTTCAATTCATGAACAGGCAACAGATACATTTATTCTACACCTATTTGGAAAACTTAGTAACATACAATTTTCTCATAACAAATAAAAAAAAATATTTTTGGAGTATAATAATAGTCTAAGTGCTTTTTTTGTGAAAAAAATCTTTCTTTGGAATGGGTTCCAGATCATATGTCACAGTCAATAGTTTTCCACATGTTGCCCACAAAACCTCTCTCATATGCAGCAGCAACAACATCATTGCATTTCTATGACAATGTAATTGAAGAATAAAAAATATGTGGCACTGATGGAAAAAGCCCCGGTAAAAGAATGGCAGGCACAAGAAAAAACTGCAACAACAACAAATTCTTTTATATTGCTAAACCTAGGAGTCCTTACCAGAACAGCTCGAAATCTAAATGCACAAAAATACCATGTAAGAAAAGCACTGTTAGCAGTTTCTCTGAGGATAACTACGATTCTTTCCACCAGGCAAGGAAAGGCGAAAACAGGCACGTATGTGCCTTTGCTGGGACACACCACCAAATGAAGATCATTATGGCTGTAGAATGCAGAGAGAGTCTAATTCTAATCTGTGATTTGTGGCATAATTTGAGATCATTTTAGCTGTTTAATTTTACATATCTGAATTTATACCACTCAAACTTTTGATTTTAAAGTTTTGAGAGTTGTTTTTTTTTTTCCAACAGCACTTGAAGAAATAACATTGCTATATTGGTGGGTTTTGTTGAGTCCTCGCGATAGCAGCCTCCCTGAGAAACCCCTTATCTTGCCTACTGCACATTGAAGTAGGCAGGGCTTCACAGAAGCGGCACAAAGCTCTTTAGTACCTTTCAATCCTGTAGTTTAAAAGTATAGTGAACAACTTGACCCATTTTCTTAATTGTATCATCATATCATTGCCTATCTACACAAAAAAAAAAGACTATGGAATATGTTAAAAAAAAAATCTACAAAGGCAAGAAGCATCATTTCAATGGGCTACTAACCTGTATGCTTCTGTACATTAATAAGATTGAAGCATTTATACACAAGCAGAGAGATAAATAGTCATGGAAAATAAACTGTTTTCAGATTTACAGAAAGTATTTTTGTTTCTCAGTTTTATCCTCTGAAATTTGGACTATTTTTAATCGCTCAGTGCAGTTGAAACACTACATACTAGGGAAAAAAAAGATGCATAAAAGGTGTAGATGCTTGCAAAAGTCATCAGGCTCCCACCAGGACCTTATCTTCCGTCAATATTTGTTTTTCACGTAAAAACACATATTCAGCAGTACTAAAAAAGCAAAACACACTAAATCAAATTCATTTACTATCTACCTACTACTCAATTGATACCTGATACTATACAAGAACTGTTAAATGGAATCCGTATCCCCTAGCAAAGTAAAAATGAAATCTTTAACCCTTTTTCCCACCTCTTACAGGAGGGCACAGAGATCCCATAGTGATAAATGGTGTACAAAGATACTGTCATCTTTGCCTACACAGTATTTTATTTACTATTTAAGTATGCCAGCTTAAAAGCGGAGTTCTTAAAAATATTACACCTCCCTTTCCCCCACACGGCGGACAATGTTATGCCAACACAGAGACGCAGTCATTTAGCGATACGGTAATTCTACTGTGCCATTCAGTGCTTAAATCATTTAAATACATAATAACAGTGTATCTGCCTTTAAACAATTTCAAATGGCTTTGAACATTTTTTTAACCACACAAAGTACTATGTGAATCAAAAAGGTATACTCACATTTCAAAAATATTCCAAATAATCACAATACCTTCTGTGTACTACAGTGTTCCCATAAAATCCTTCTAAAAATTTACCACTCTGTTTGTTGTAAATCATATGAAGGAAACACTAAAAAGTATAACAAACAGTCCAGCACCTAACTCACACAACCTTTCATTTGGCACTCCGCACCTAACTTTTCCAGTCAATTCCCAGACTTGCAATCAGTTCAGCTTCAGAGGATGTGAAAGTAATTTCACTTTTTTCTGTGTCTATTTCCCTCTTTGCGCAATGGGGACGACTCCTCAATCGCCCATGGATAATTAAAACATAAAAAGCACTGCTTATGAAATGCTTCAGTCACGAGCCTCAGAGTAATACAGAACTACTGTTGTGCCATAAGGAGCACCATCTTTATCAAAGCAACAGCATCTTTGAACAACAAGTAGCAAGTATGCGATGTATGTGATCCTCAGTACAAAAATGCTTAGGGTATACCAGAAACGTATGCCACACACACAAAGTTGTGCTTGAGATCTTTGTCTTCCCACACTTTATATAAACTATCAATGCCTTCAAAGGAACTGCAGAGTAAATTTCCCCCATGAAACAAAACAAACATCCCCAATTCCAGTTCTCATACTTTTTGGTAGAAGATTAATACACAATATCTAAAGAGGGGATTATCCACACATGACAAAAAGTTTGCCTTCTTCAGTACAATGAAGTTACTGTACTCATAAAGCCTAAAAGAATTTTAAAAACCCTGATTCCCACACAGAGAATTAGCAACATAGTAGCCCTAAAAACTTTTAGCAACCTACCTAATTAGCTGCTGTACTTCATGCCATAACAGCTGCCAAGTCTACCCCTGCACTATTTCTTGCCAGGAAAAAAAAAAAAAAACTTTAAAAACTGTATTGCTGTTATTTCATGTAAAAAGTGAGAGTATCTAGTCTTCTTGTTAAGAAAAGTAAGTTAGTTTTGTCCACAAATGGAACAGCTTTCTTCTCAGATGAAGTTCCTCACTTCTAGCTGCTGAAACGAGTGCTGCCTAGGTGCAGGGATGCCACCGATGCTGCCATGGGAGGTAGTCCTTCTCTCCCTTTGTGCTGGGAGCAACCCGCTCCAGCCTCGGCACCAGCACAGCCGGCTCCCGGCACGCTGGGGAAAGCCCTGGCTTACAGACACACACGAGTGCCTCCTCAAACCACCGACCTGTGGTACTAACTGAGGGTGATATACGATAAAATGCAGGCATTTTTCTCTTTCCTTCTCGCAGACCTTGGTCCTTGAAGATCACACCTTCAGGAATATTACTGTCCTTAATGCAAGTACAGGCAGAGTTACAGGGGGCAGAGGGGACTCACATATGCTGTACAACAGTCCATTCTACAAGATTCATTCCATTCACAATCCATTCTACAAGATATAACACCACAAAAGTAAAAACCCTCATGAGAAAGTTCACCTAGGAAGGATAAGACCAAAACCCTGCAACAATAACCCATCAGAGAAAACAAAATTTAAAAAAAAACATCATCACAAATTTCAAAGCGAAGTCACATTTCACAAGGAATTAAAACACTTCAGCATGGACGAAGTCAGCTAGCTTAAGACCTTTTAAAACTGCTTGAATTCTTCCTCTCCCTATAAACCTCACTCCATTTTTTGCACGCAAAAATAGAAAACAGAATACTGGTACAAATATTTGTTTTAAAAATAGTTTCTCTAGTATTAAGGGTGATGACTTCACGTCACACTACTTTACCTTTTGAAATCAGCACTATAACTCTGTAATGAGGACATAACATTTTACCTAGCCAGGACATGTGGCGAGTAAGCTGTGACCTCATCGCAGGGCCTGACCGTGCATAAGGATTGGGTACCACTTGCAGTGTGCAGAAAAAACACAAGTCTGGATTTCATAAGAACACTGGAAAACAAACACAGTTGGCTCACACATGCAAAATATCTTCTCAGAGAGTGGATGTGTGGCCACAAAGACAGCTAGACCCAGTAAAAGCAGCAGAAGAACAAAGTGTTCCAGCTTTCATAGCTGCTGACCTCATGGAACCCCTTTACAGCAGAGAAACATCATTGATTTTCTGACCTCATTCAAGCACTGTTATTTGGCAGGACTAAAGGTAGCTGGATCACCTTGACTGTAAATTTCCATACAGAGGAACTGCTTGTTCATTGAGACCATGCTATGAACTTTCTGGTTCCAAATTTTGTGTTACTTTCACTAACAACAGTTACCCACATAAAGCTTTTCACGCTCAGGATAGAATAGCTCTAGTAAACAACTAAAGAGGGAAAACAATCTTCTTTCTAATCTGCTTTGTGTCGCCTGCAAAAAAAAAATAAAAATCAAAGTCTGTGACAAAACCAAAGTAGTACTCAAAAGCAGGTTTATCATATGTGAATAAATCCCATTGCTGAGGTACTGTATGACCAATCTTTCAATTTACTGACTGGAAGAGCACAAAGGGAGTTCTAAACATACCACTACTCCAAAGCCTGCAAAGAAACTGTCTAAAAGACCATCCTTACCATCCTTACTGTGTTACCCTGTCAGCAGCAGAAAGCTATGGCAGCATTTTCCCTTCCTCTCTTCCCCCAACAGATAACCGCAGACCTCCAAGATGCACCACATAAACAACACATTCCTGAGAAGGACTTCCACAGGTCAGCACTTTCTCGGAGACTCCCACAGCCAGAAGCTCTGCACAAACATGCTGGGAAAAGGCAACACTGATTTCTTGCTCCAGTTCCACTGTGCATGACATTTCATTTTGGAGTACAGACCTCAAGGTCCCATCCCAGCCCCATCCAGACGGAAAGGCAAACCACTGCAGCACCGACTCTCCCAGCTGGGAGGGCAACCACAAGCAATCCCATTCTCGTAGTAGAAAATCACACTTATGGTGGCAAGCTTTAATCTTTATCACTGGAAGGGAAATGATACAAGAATACTTCTAGCTGCTAGTTCTAAACCTTATTTACCTGTCTACACAGTCATTTCATCTCGCTCATGAACACACATTACTATGGGTGTCTACTACTTCAGCCCAACTACTTCAGCAAGTAATTCCAGAAAACTCAATCTGACTAAGTCAGCACAGTATGGGAATTCACAATTATGCTGAAATATTAAAGAGGTTGGGCATACTGCTTCATCTTGTATTTTTAAAACAAGACACACATGCACTGCAGCATCTGTGGCTGTCACTACTCACCAGAAAACGCACCCATTTCACACAAATATATACAGAAGAATGTGACTTCCGCTTCAGGATAAACAATGGGGAATCCCAAAATCAAACTCCTCCCTCCTGTACAGCTTAAGTGTAGTCAACTTCTCGTTTTAATCTTTATACGTATTTTCCTCCGTTACTAGTAGTTTAGGTACTTACATCCAGGAAGACCATATTCTTCCAGGAACCAATACTTATAAAAATTAATGCTGGGCTATAAAAGACCCTTTTCCATATAACACCTTTGTATTTCTTACAATTCATAACAATTCATAGGAAAACACCCAAACCAACAAATCATTCTCTTCTCTAAGTCACTAAATAGTCACCAAGCAGGCAGCACAGACCTTTGTCATGAAAGCATGAAAAACGCTGAAGTCAGATCTGTTAGTATGGTTCATTAATAACACTGCATATTCCAAAAACACACAGTCTGATTCGCCTCTTATGAAAGAATTGATCCAGAAGCCCTTATAGAAATACAACTATAGAAGTTGAGTGTGTGCAATAAATCTATAATCTAGCCTATTAACAGTTGGGCTGATGGACTGCTACTGTTACTGTTACAAAAAAGTAACCAGCCTAAAAGAATAAATAAACAGATATGTGCATAAGTAACCATACTAACACATGGAAATAGTTTTCTTTTTTAATGTCCACCGTATCACTCATAAATAATCTGACAAAAGCAGGAAAAGTACTAATGCAATAGTTCCCTATGCACTAGTTCCAGGCAAATTTCCATTTCTTTTTCACATAGAAGACTCATAATTAACTTTGCTATTCCGTCACACTACTGCCACAACACCACAGACCTTATGCAAAGCGTGCTATCGATTTCAACCACAAACAGCCCAGGCATTGTCACTTTTGTGTCTGACAAAGATTAATTTTTAGTAATGAGGGAGAAAGTGCAGAAGCACAAACAGAGGAACAGACAAGGCGGAAACAGAAGACTGCCTTCATCACCCCTGCATCTCCAAAGGGAAGGGAGAAAGGTATGTGAATGCATCTCCTAACAAAGCAGGAAAAGCCTACACATTTGCACAAACACACATGAATACAGATAAAATACACTAATAAGAAGACAAATCATGACCTACAGGACTTATATTTATGGCCACACGAATTTGTTTGCTACAAAAATGGTTAATGAAAGTTCAGATTGTATATTTTCAGTTTAAGCAAAACAGAGAAGCTCTTTGATGATATGTAAGCTGAACGCCTAAACATATCTGAGTTGTATACAAGTTCTTCATCTAACTGTGTGGATAACAAACTGAAGTAATATAAATATTGGTTTGGTGATTAGTTTCTTTTTGGAGAGGGATGTTGCAAGCAGTCCGTTTTCTGTCATAATCGAACTAAAATGAATTCTTGAGTCAAAAAAGTTCTCTGGGAGCCAGGTGCTTTGCTCTGGCTAAGATTCCTGAATGAAAAGATTGTCTACGTGCTCCTGTGACCATGCCTATTCAATCTTATAAGCATATGTACATATTACGTAGGTTTATCATAAAAAAAAACCTCGAGCACATTGCCCCCCAAACAGGAAGATGACGTGCAAAGCTTTCCAAAGTGTCCACGATGTTTTAATATGTGTGCACACATTATGGAGGATCTAAGCCTGAATCAAACAAAAAAGCGTTATTTTATTGTCAGTGGGAAACCTTTTAAGACAATTCATGGTGACATGTGAAAAAAAGCCATTAATCCAAACCTGTAGTAGTGTTACAGTCAGTAACTTTCAGCTGAAACTAATAAAAATACAGAGAAGAAAAAAAACACCTTATGTATGTTTCAAAACTCACCCACATTTGGTGGTTTCCCATAATTTACAGGTAGTTCGGGAGGCCGCCCTCTGTGAAGAGCCGCAAAAGCAGATCCTTTCCATAGCGTATGTCTGAAGTCTGTACCGGCAAGATTAACAGTGGGTTAGTGAAACAATCAGCCAAACCGCGTCCAGTAGAACCAAGAGCACCAAGCACTACTCCCAGCATCATAAAGTAAGATTTGTCCTTTAAAATAGTTTGTCGGAGACATAACACTTAAAGATTGCTACTCTGATTTCTAGTTCCTAAGCAATATGACTTTAAGTGGTTTCAGCTTATTTGTGCTTCATTTTGGTGAGTAGGGAATCTAAATTGATGTAAAGAAAAAGAGAACATAAAAAGTGGGTGCACTTTGTATTGAGGCAGCACTGAATTTTTCTGTTTTTAGTCCTTCTGCAATCCTAACACATACAGAACCTCTCCTTATGAATTGTGCATTTGAGAATACACATACGTACACACATTTGAGAATACATATACATACACACATTTGCTCCCTGAAAGTGGGAAAAGTGGGATTTTTTTCCCCAATAAATCTGTTTTCCTGCAATCGGTGGCAATATGCCCTCCTTTCAGATTCTCCCCTGCACCCCACCCGCCAAAAAAACATTGTTTTTAAAATGAAGACTGTTTTCTTTAAAGACTCTCCTGCTATCTGCTGCCAACTGGCCTCAGAGAGCCTTCTCTCTAGAACAATAGTGATTTTTCTGAGACTGTTCAGAGTGCCTCAGAAATTAGACCTGGACTTCTTCCATTTCTGGCCATCTGGAAGGAGAGAAATGAGCTTCCACTGTGAATAAGGACCGCAACAGAAGGATAGTGACACAGATTGGTGGAGCTGTGTATCACCCTTTAGATCTCTGAATATGAAGTGCACAAGCTTACGTGACTCAGACTCCCGAGAGCACCTTCTGATTAAAACCCAAACTGTACCACAGAGTATTACAATGATACATATTAAAAACAGCACTCATACTTTTTAAAATAGATCAAAATAGCTATAAATACTAACGGTAAACGGAAATTTCATACTGATACACAACTAGGGTAAGCGGAAATCCACGTATGTCAGCTTTGAAAAAGGTACGATGTTTCATATTAGTGAGAGTGCTTTACACACCAAATGGCACAACGTCACGGCACCTTTTTCTGATGGGGGAAAAAAACCCACCACAAATCTAGTAAAAATCTCTTTGCAATAGATTTATCATAAAGCTTAGGAAGCACTACATCTTTCAGTGATTCATCTAGCCTCTGTCCCCTAATTCCCCAAGAAACTTCTGTTTCCCTGCACAAAAAAAGTTTATTTTCTCTTTACATTTTGTTGCTGTTTTCTTGTAAGATGCAAACTGAATGTGACATGAAGGAACGTTTCTATGCAGGCCTCCCTGCAAACCTGGAATTCTCCACCCAATTATACAAAAGCACAGGCAAAACAAGACTGGGTCCCAAAACTTTGCGTAAGGAAACATGTTTGCAAACAGCACGTCCCTCCAGGTGATATCCAGTGGATCAGCAGAATGCTACAGCCCTTGTTAGCATCAGCGTGACTTCACAGGATGCAGTAAATTAAGTGTTCAACTGCCACTGAAACAGGAAGGTCCTGCTCTTTCATCCCTCCTCCTCTCCCAGAATGATGCTCCTGCTGCCTACGTCACCTCCAGCACTCCGATCCCTCCATGAGCTAATTTAATTCACTACAACAGCAATAACAAATTTTGCAACATTTTAGCTCTCTGAATCAGCACATCACAGGATCAAACAAGTTCTGGTTCCTACAGGGAAGAAGTGGCAGGGGCACAGAGTGAGGAGGGCAGGGAGGAACCACTCTTCAATAGCAGATGGCTCTCAGATCTGTTTAGTTATAACACAAAACTCTGCTCTTAGGATCATTATCTCAAGCAGAGCAGTTTTTCAAAAGGAATAGGACTGGTGCTCTATTCATGAAAGGAACAGGGGCTTTTGTTCAAATTAACTTTAAGCAAGGACAAGCAGGAATTATGACTGAAGAATCAGCCTCACCTTCTCCCACCCTCTGAAGTGCTGCCCCAAATGCCATCCTGCTCTTCAAGCTCACATACCTGTCTGCACAGCCACGGAATCAAATAATTGCATAAATCTGTCTGAAAAATAGCCCAGCAAAATATATAGATTGCTGGGTTATTTTAGACACAGGCATGTGTATATGTATATGAAAAAAATAGCTATTTTTCAGATGGACTAAATCTCTCATCCAGTTCATTGCATCATTTACGCAAACAGCAGTTCAACATGTTGGGGAAGGGAGGCAGAGGAAGAAAGTAACAACATCAGGCAACTGTAGGCAAGAGCTGCTTAAGATGGCATTTTCAACCACAGAAACATATATGTAACAGGGCCAGCAATAACTGCATTTTAGCAAGACTGGAACAAGAAAGCTGACAAGCACAGGAAACAAACCAGGGTTCGTGTAAACACACACAGATACCACAGTATGAGTCAAAATGAAAAGGGTTTTGATCATTAAAATAAAATTCAATCACATATAAATTGAGAATCTTACCTTTTGCTGCCCTTAATAGAGACTGGCGCCCGACACCTAGCAAAGTTTGCACACCTAGGACACTCTGTGGGATTTCCTTGTCTAAAAGGGGTCCAAGTCTCTCACAGATCCTAAGAAGATAATCCGGAGGGATGTGTGCATTGACAGCCACCTAAACATATAAACAACGCAGACGTTTGAAAATTGTTTTATTCTTGCTTCTACTGGTATTTCTTTGTTTGGTTCATATTCAAGTGTTAAAGTTACTGAAATCAAGTCCAAAACCCTTGAAATCCCCCTCAAAATCAATTATACCAAAGATGCCTTTGAAAGTGACATGAAGTCTTGAAAAAGACCAGAAATTCCAGGTGGTAGTAGCTACAGTTGTAATTTAGGATATCTCTTAATAACAAACAAAAATCCCTGAAACTCAGAGGTCCCAGTGCAGCACTCTGATCAAACAAAGTATTGCCTGGGGAACATTTTTTTAAGCCCTTTTTACCTTTCATTTCATTCTTATCACATTTCTTGCTCAGCTGAAACACCCTTGCCAGACACGTACATTACTGTAAGAAGCACACGCACTAAAGCCTAAAACCCCTAAACATTATCCTAAAAGTAATACCCAATCTGCAGCTTTTAGCTACCGGGAGTAGGTATCTTTAAGACCCACACATGTAGGATCCTAATTTGTTAAGAAAACATTCTTCTTTTTTCCCTTTAGACAGAGACTGTTCTCTATAGAGAGACAACAGTTTTTCCGACAGTCTGTTCAAATAGCAAATAAATTGTGCCTCATTATCCAGAATGTCCTGCACTTGCCTGACTTCTACTATATTTACTAGCTGGCAGCAAAAAACTCAACATCAGAGCTTATTTAACTCCTTCAACACAGGAAATACATTAAAGATCAACAGTAACAGGTCACTCAGCTCTTAAGCACCTGTGATTGACGATGGAAAAAACAGCTGTATTAGAACTATTTAAAACTTTTGTATCTATTGCAATATTATGAAAAGATTGTCATAAGTTTTCTGTTTTACAAAGCCACAAACTAATGCCAAATAATACTAAAGCTGACCTGAAAGGACCAGAACAGTGCTTGTTGTAAAGAAATAATAGCAGCATATGCCTGCGCACACCCCTCTCCTGCCTGACCACTTCACTGTGTCCAGTCACAGGCCAATACTGGTGACATGCAGTTCCCTCCTGGCAGGGTAGGACAAGTTTTTGTGCAGCTGCAGTGAGCCAGAATGATTCCCGACTTGGGCTAAAATCACGACCAAGCTCCCCTCTGCATCAGCTCTGGTGCCCATCTACTGTGGAGGGAGCCGTTTCAGCTGCCCTGCCTGGGAACGCTCACCCGACAAAAGAAGGAAAAGGTTTTTCTGCCGGGGTTAGCACAGCTGATTTTAATTCAGAGAAGTGCCAGAGCCGGTGGAAAGCAAGGAACAGGACAACTTCTTTCAACAGCAGAGCATCAGCAGATAGGCCCAGCTATCCTGCCTACCCAGACCCCAGGGATATGCCCAGCTCCTGCCCCGGCACACCGGAGGGAGCGGCACACACTGGGAAGCAGGAAAAGGTGAGCATTTTACTCAGAACTGCTGCCAAAACATTGTTCGCTGAACTATGTCATCAAACAGATTATTACTGCATGTCACTGGGAAATAATTCATTCCAATTGGGCAACAGGAGTGGTGCTACGGAGCTTAACACAGTGAGTCATGTGTTGTATAATGTAATCACCTGTATCACAAGCAGGATCAACACCATACCACAAATAAGATTTTAAGTGCCCCCCCCCCCCCCCCCCGCAAAAAAAAGGAAAGGCTTTTCTAATGATATATACCAATTATCATTTAAGTAAACCCAACTAAAACTCTTCCAATCTGAATGGAAACTCTTACAGAAGAGAAACAGGCTTCTCCATGCATCCTTTCAGTTGCTGCACGTTAAACATATGGCTCTGTCCTTTGGATGGGAACAGAAGAATCGTACCTCTGCAGGAAAGATAAACCTGATGACTGCATTAATGTGGTGCCATTCCATGGCTTTTCACACTGTGAACATCAAGGAATGACCCCATGAATGCCCTCTTGCACTGAGTGGTTTTTCCAGCTGTTCTAACTTCTTTTTCCCCCCAAAAAAATCATAGAGCTCCAAAATTGTATTGGTACCTTCCCAATTGTACATCCAATGAAGTTCAGTGTATAAGCATGAATTGTCTTTCATTGTAAATTACATGATATAACAGAAGACAAAATAAGATAAAGGGATTATCTGAACTTTTGTATTTACCTATCGTTTTATTCATTCCTCAAATATTGTAAGTGTTAATGCTACAAAATATTTTATTATCCTGCGCTAGCCTCCCTTCGGCATGTAAGGGATCTGAAAGGATCTGAAACAAAGGCAATTCCAAAGAGAGAATCTGCAATTTAATCAAATGTGAGCATGAAATTCTTTTTTACATCTCTGATAATTAGCAACATGGTTCTCAGTCAACAATTGCCAATTCTAGCAATTTATCAAGCTTAAGATTAAAAGATTAAAAAGAAAAAGAGTAATCAATCCAGGAACTGTGGAATTTTACATCTTACTCCTAGGGTAGGAAAAAACCCAAACCTATACCACTCACTCTGGAAATATAAAATTTCACAGAAAGCCCAAACCACTCTCCCAGTGTAATGCAGCAAAATGCTTCCCTTTTCACTCAGGAGCGCTGTTTTTGAAGTGCCGTTGCTATTCTATGCCTAGAGAGAGGTGCTGAATTAAGCCTGGCAGCAAATACCCTACTGTGGAGACAGAGCACAAGTTATTCAACAAGCAGTCCTGACTAACTCAGGGCATCTACTCAGGAATGGAAAGGGACTTTGTCGCTTAAAGATCCGCAGATTAAGCCACAGTTTTACAAAGAATAGCAAAGGGAGTGAACATCAACACATGTGCAGACCAGCCAACATTCAAAGACGAAAGATGGATGCGCCAGACTCACGGAGCATGTGGCAGTTATCTGCACACGCCTGGCGGTAATTTGCCTGGGACATCCAGACGTTAAGCAGCTCAGGATACCAGACATCTGCTTGATCGCTGCCCAGACCAGGAAAGTTGGCAAATCCATCATGGAGCCAGAGTTAATCGGCACAAGTGAGCTGCTGAGGCATCTAGATTTTAGTGCACAATTTTATTAGACTGTAAACTTTTCTAAGCAACATTTAATCTGGAGCATATTGCACAGACCAGGCACATATCAAAGTGACCACTCACTTTATTAACATGCCCTCCTCACCAGATTTGCCACCTGCAATCAGAACAATGCCATACATACTACAGAAGAAAGGCTGTATGACACTTCTTTCCCTGCACATTTTCATGTTTCTACAAGCCCAAACAGCCAAAATACGTGGCCCTTAATCTGAATATTATCACTGTTGTTATTACCAAACAGCCACATAGGCAGGCAGCAATAGCAGCAAATTCTCCTGGAGATTTTTTTCCATAATAACTTCCAGATAAAATGCTTAAACTGCAGCCCAGAGCAAAACAAGCCATTCTATTTTCAGGTTCCCAAAAGAACTTGAAACAAAAATCCTTCCTTTCACCTCTGTGTGAGATAGCTGTAAATGGATTTTAAGTATCTTTCCAAAACATGAAGCTGCAAACATACAGCTGAGAGAAACAAAGTCTGCCAAATCAGATTTTCATTAAAAGAATGAAGGGAAAAGGCAAAGTTTAGCACCAATTATAGCCACTCCTCTTAATATATGCTAGTCCAAACCCCATACAGCAAAATGAAATAATGGCAACGATATTATCACCTCCTCAAATATACTAGAAAATATTTCAGAAAATAATTAGAAAATTGGAAAAAATTAGAGACGAGTAATACAGGCAAAACACATGCTTATAAAGAGCTTTTAAAAGAGCATGTTAAAATAATGCAGAAGAGCTGAAAATGTGCTAAGTGAGAGCAAGTTCTGCACCCTGGGACAAATTAGAGAGAGAAAAATGTTCTGTGGCCTTAAGATGTGAAAGACCCTATAAAGGTTAAAACGTGAGAGCACAAGAATGCCACAGTACCACAGAAGAGTCCTCTGACACTGTAACCACACAGGTCTTACAGATCTAAAAATTTTAAGAATCGGGTAAAGTAAATCCATCCTTTTAAAAAAATCTACGCAAACAACCATGGTTGAATGTAACACAGTCACGACTGCTTGAACCAGCATACAAATAAGTTTCTACAGTGATAAGCAGCTGCAAGTAAAGAACTATTAGTGAAGTCACGTCAGGCCTAGGAGAAAGACATACCCCTAAACCTGTTTATGCTTCTGATGTTGGAAGCATTACCACGTATTCTGAAAGACTACTGAGCAAAGGGTCTTCACTGGAGAGCTAAGAAGACGGGCAAGAAGCTTGTGATCCCCAAAACAAACACACAAAATCCCCTGGTATGACTGCTGACAATTTCTCCTCCAAGGAAGGTTTCAATAAACAGGAAACAAACAAGCAAACAAAGACTCTTTGTGATTACTACTTCTAATAAGACATCTGTCTTCCCAGGGATCGGAACCAGATAGCTCTGAAACACCTCTTTTGGGAAGCCCAGTGAAACACTGCTTCAAAGCACTAACTAAATTTGACGCAGGAGCTGCGTAATGGAAGCAACGTAGGCAGCAACGCAGACCTTCGAAGGCTCCTTCGTACCCAGTCCCCTGTGGGCACGCAGGCAGTTGTGCATCAGCAGCAGATTTCTAACCTCTAGGCAGTCATACGGCACTTCTCTCATTTACCAAAATAACAATCAATTAAGAATCAATTGACAACTGTATCAAAAAAGCAGCAGAGAAGACCAAGAGGACCGAGGCAGCTGAGCGAGCAGGAAATTACTCAAGACCTCAAATATGGAATCTCCACACAAGGAAGCTGAGACACTGGACTTGCACAAGATGTCAACAGTGTGCAAACACACATGAATTTAAAAAGCCACTATCCACTCGGTTGGAACTACCATACTACCAGACAACATTTTCCTGAGGTGAAAAAAACCCGTAACATCTCTTCTCTGCTAATGCTAGGATTGGCAATATCTATAAATAACAGCACCTCAGACTCACAGCTAGTTTTAAATCAATGCAGATGGGCAAAGCAGAAACTCAAAGC